ACCCGAAAGAAAGAGCTCAACCAATCACAGTGCTAAATTAGCTTCCTGTAGCAAACACTGATCTGAGATCAGACAGGAGCCACGGTTTCTCAAACTGGCCCTCAGCCGAGAGCTTGGGCCTCCTCGAATAGGTTTAAGATGTTCCTTGAACATGTCATCACTCCCCCCACCCCTTTTTTTGTTGTTGTTGTTGTGCAAAAGAGAGAAATACAAAACAAGTGGGAAAAAAAACAGAATACAGAGATACATGGGTGGATGTCAACTCAGGAATCGCCGCAGTGGCAACGGGAGGGAATTGTTGGCTATTTATTCTGGAGCTGCCATTTTGCAGGACCTCTTTGCTCTCCTCTTTCCGCCCAGTTGAAATCAACGTGACAATTTTAAAGACGCGGTCCTTGGAAGCTATTTTACCCCGACCAAAAAAAAAACTTGAGAACATCCCCGCAAATGCCTCGGAGGCGCGCAATGGGGCCCGCAGTAGCCTGGCGGTGCTGCATAAGCAGATGCAGATGCCTTTGGAGGCAACCAGAGGGTCTGCGTTGAATTAGATAAATCCCAACAAAGGCCCCAGCGCAGTGACTGATCGATTCATTTGGCCTTATTAAGTCACTCCGACGAGCAATTTGTCAATGAGGGGTCGCCGCCGTGTGCGTTCACTGTGCGTGCATGTGTGTGTGTGTGTGTGTGTGTGTGTGTGTGTGTGTGTGTGTGTGTTGTCGCGACACTCCGACTGCACAAAAACGTGTCACGCAATCACCTCGCTGCTTTCTTTTGTGCATCTCGCTTTTTGTCCAAGATCACCCCTCCATCTTTTTATATTAACATCTCATATTCACCCACCCAACCTCCATATGGAAATGACAGAACAGACGAGATGGATCTGTATATTAAAGCCGAGGCTGACATCGACATTTGCATAATGTGGGGGTGGCCTTAGGGCGCTACCTGCCATCTGCATTCGCCCCGACGCACGCATGCACGCACAAACACGCACGTCGCGCGCAGACGAATAAACGGGTATCGGCTATCTGGACCAAAGTCTTTCTCTTAATTAATTTATCAATTAAAAGGGTAGGGAACAGAATCTCCCGACTCCCCC